AACACACACCGATAATCCTCCCGAGCATGAGGATACCATATGTGTGAGAATTTTTCACTGTCTGGATTTTTTATGTATCGGACATTGTATTATGTGTTTTCACACAAAGCAACCAATTGTTTCAATATCAATCTACTGTAATGGTTACCTCTGTATGAGTCATCAGGTAATATAGCTTAGTGTAGTGTCACCTATAGCAGTCCCTGTTGCTATAAGGCAAGCAAGCCTAGCCTACCTGTACATGGCCGCCCCTGGAATAAAATGTTCACTGGGCAGGAAGTACAGGAAGCTGAAGAAAGGAAGAACAAAATAGTTCCTGTGGATTCTAGCTACACTGGTCTGGACACTGTGACTGGTGTGGTGGAGATCGGAGAAACTGTGACTGGCTGTATTAGTGTTTGTTCACATGTGGGGTTCGGAGGCAATACGGTTGATCTGTCCCTAACTGTTCCCCCTTTTAGGCAGTGGCCAAGGGTATACACCTACTGCAGCAGAAATGCTTTGCTTGGCAGCTGTGGCAGGAATTATATCCCCCTGTACACCCACTGATTACGACCCATTCAAGTGAATGGGAGTAGTTGTGCAGGGTCCTGGGGTTAAAGCAAGTAGTGAGGAGGCAATATAATGATCCATACACAGATGGGTTTTCAGAGAGTATGGTGACTTAAGGTGACACACTGTGACTGGTGTTACTGTGATCAGGGACACTGTGACTGGTGTGGTGGTGAACAGGGACACTGACTGGAGTGGCAGTAATTAGGGACACTGTGACTTGTGTGGAGGTGATTAGGAATGTTGGAACTGGTGTGGTGGTGAACAGGGACACCGTGACTGGTGTGGCAGTGATCAGGGACACTGGAACTGGTGTGGTAGTGATTAGGGACAATATGACTGATGTGCGGTGATCAGAAACATTATGACTGGTGTGGTGGTAATTAGGAACACTGTGAGTGGGGAGTAGTGATTAGAGACACTGACCGGCAGCACTTGTCTGGTGACATTGTACTACAGGTGGTGATCAGAGATAATGGCTGGTGGCACTAACATACAGTAATATTAGAACAGCCAGCCATTTTACATGATCATCGCCACAGCAGTACAATATCACCATAGTGGCATTGCACTTGCTGTGGTGACAGTATTGTTTTACTTATTGTCACCACAGCAGGTCACCACAGTGACACTGTATTGCTCTGAGGGGTGATCTTTTTTTTTTCATGATTACTGAATAAACACTCACTTTCCTGTAACTGTTTGGCTGTATTCCTGCATTGTTTACTACTATGATGTTGTTATTGGTCACAGATATCATATGGCCATCATATGCGACCAACAACAAAATAATAATTTCCTGCAGATGATGTCACATCCGCCCCACATGTGCAATCTAAGCAGGCCAGTCACAGTTCTGGGATTCCACACAGCTTCCTTGGCTCTGCAGACACAGCTTACTGCTGCACTGCCTCCATCAGCGGGTACTATAGGATGGGTTTCCAGGGACTGTATTTTTGCTATGTAGAGTGTAATTACTTTCAGTATCTTGTGAGTTTTTATTATCACAATTAAAAATAAAAGCTGATTTTAAAACTGCACTTAGATGGCCCTTTCCTTCTCCTCTTTCTTTTAAATCCCACTACATAGCTGGCTTATACTGGGAACAGCTGCAGCCAGTGTACAGTTGTTTATGGACATTCTATCAGCCTCCATCGGCGGGTACTATAGGATGGGTTTCCAGGGACTGTATTTTTGCTATGTAGAGTGTAATTACAGTTGTTTATGGACATTCTGTCAGCTTTCAGCTATATGGACTGATGTGTATTGCATTTTACCTATGCAATATCTAGTGCATGGGCTGTTAACCTCTTCCTTGTACCATTTTACCCACATTTATGTCACAATACAAAATGGCAAACAGGCTCCATAATATGACAAGATCGACATTTCCTAACTATTTTTGAAAGTTACTATAGACTGTCTATTCAGGATGCCAAACACCCGGGATGTATAATAATGATATTCCAAGAAGCAGGTCAGCAAATGACAGCCTCCATATGCCTCTCAGTACAGGTTTAAAAGTCAACAATGTAATTTTTTTTTTATTATTTCGAAAAAATAATTGTACTTAAAAATAATAATAAAGTAAATTGTGTGTTATTTCAGTATAAGGAAGGCTAGTTGAACTACTTTAGCTGGTGTCTGAGATGCAAGTTCTTCTTCTTGAATGTGACAGGAAACACTAAACACCAAAACAAAACCCTTTATTGACCAATAACATTATATTCATTCATTAAAGCAAAAGCAGGGAAGACCCCTACTGTACCCTTTGCTGAAGTCATGCACTAACTTTCCCAAATAATGATTTTTGAAAAAAATTACTGCTAGACAAAATGATAATATAGCTAAATTTCATGGTCCTCAAAATTGTATGTTTGTGCAAATAAAAAAAGTATCACGGACAGTACTCAGTTGTTTCTGTTGCATTTAAAAACAGGAAACCATGGATATAAACCTATATGCCACCTTCTTTTAATCCAGAATTTTTGCTCCTGTAGAAGGTGGAAGTGAGAGGTGTGTGGGTACTGAGAAACATTTCCCCTCCCTTTTTTCTCTTTCTCTTTATTTCTTTCTCCCCTCATTCGTTTTATCTAATTTTCCTTTCTATCCCCCTTTCTCTTACTGTTTTTTTTTGTGAAGTGAGGGGCACTGGGATTCGAATAGAGGTGATGCAATTAGAGTTTTTCCTTTTATCAGACATATAGGGGTTTATTTACTAAAGCTGGAGAGTCCAAAATCAGACTCCCTTCTGCATAGAAACCAATCAGCTTCCAGGTTTCATTGCCAAAGCTTCATTGAACAAGCTGAGGTTAGAAGCTGATTGGTTTCTATGCAGAAGGGAGTCTGATTTTGGACTCTCCAGCTTTAGTAAATAAACCCCATAATGTATTCCTTCCCTTACCTTCCAGACCACAGGACATACCTCCTACCCTGGATTCATTTATTGCATTGTTTTTGTTTTTAAAAGCCAATTGTTCATATGAGCATATTCATCTTTTTTCTTTTATATAGTCATGTTTGTCAAACTTACTTTTGAAAATTTTTTAAAATTATAAAAAATGTATTTAACAAAAAGATATATATCAATCAAGTTTATGACTATCTTTTATGTTTTTGGTAAGTTTTAGGGTGCTGGATAGTTTGCAACTCTCTCTTTCATGACTGGTACCTTTTAGGGTGACATAGAGCCACCTTTTAACATCTATGTATTTTTTTGTGTTTTACACTTTTATTATGTGCAAATAAATGTTTTCTTTGATTGAATTCCCAGACTTCAAGCTTGCTTTTTCTTTTATCTATATTTGCAATGGCACAGAATCAAATGCAATTTATTTTAAGAAAAAAATAATAATGTGCAAACTTTACTTCACATAGCTGGAGTTTGTTTGTAAACCTTGTAATATTTATTGATGTATGTTGAGCTTTGGTAACTTTAGCTATTTTCTGTATAGTTAGTTTACAGCTACAACAATAACAAATGTCAGAAAATATGGTATTAATATTTCACTTTTTAAAAACATAGCAACCCATGTACAGATTTGATTATATATCTTCAGATTTTAAATGCTTCATTGTAATATTCAGCACAAAATAAGATCAAGCACTCTAGTGGCAACAAGAAATAGACAGGACAGTCCAAAACAAACACACAGATGGGTAAAAAAATGGGTTATTAAAAGGACCATATTTAAAGTTTAGATTGCCCTAGGCACATTTGCATGATGACATCCCTTTATTCCCCAAAAAGGTAGACAGTTGCTACTGTAAGGATTAAAGCAAGAAGGTACCTGAATTCAACCATGCGTTCCCAGAATGGGAGTAGCACAAAAAGAAAAGAGCACACATATGGCGCATATTGACTTTTTTTGTTGACTCTTCTTACCAATTAAGGGCAGCACAGTGGTTAGCATTTCTACATAACAGCACTAAGATCATTGGTTCGAATCCATATGCCTGGAGTTTACATGTTCTCCCTGTGCCTGAGTGGGTTTCCTTCGAGTACTCTGGCTTCCTCCCACACTCCAAAAACATGCTGGTAGGTTAAATGGATCCTGTCTAAATTGGTATGTATGAATGTGAGCTAGGAACCTTAGATTGTAAGCTCCTTGAGGGAAGGGATTGATGTGAATGCTCAATATATATCTATGTAAAGCGCTGCATAAATTGACAGTGATATATAAGTATCTGTAATAAATACAATTAATACAAGGCATGAATACTAGGGTACTAAAAATACATATACTGTAGAGTCTCTTCTTAGATGCACGCATGTACATTTTGCAATAGCTGAAAAGGTTTCCTTCAGTTTCTAGCATACAATTTCTTTATATACTGTAAACCACCCAACACAGCACTGTTGTGTAACTAACATAATTAAAAAATGGTGTGCTGCATAGGAAAGCTAACGTAAACTACTTATAGACATTAGATGTATATCACCTGGTTCCAGACTACCAGGCTAGATCAAAAGGGGAGAGGGATGCTCATACATATTTATACTGGGTTTCCAATATCTGATTGACATTGTTTTGAATAATTACCTAATAATCAGTGTACCCTAAAAATACGTTTCTGACTTATAAGGTTCACAAATGACTTGTATAGCAGGTCAATTATTGCAACATGCAACCTTGGACCAGCATCATCTGAGGTATTTTAGTTTAGTCAGCCTGAAAACTTTTGGCCAGTAGCTCATTAACAACTAGTGTGAGTGCAAAGATAAGTTCAGCTAACTGCCTCTTTTCACATTTAAAAAAAAAAACAGAACAGTCAAAGAACATATTTCTGATGTTTATGATAGCTGAGCATATTTTGCTACATAATTGTCACATTAAAATCTTAAATATTTGACAAGGCTGATATTTTATTTACATTGTATTTGTGTCAAGAAGGTACCGTATTTTTCGCACCATAAGACGCACTTTTTTCCCCCCAAAAAAGGGGGGAAAATGTCAGTGCGTCTTATGGAGCGAATATGGAGCGGCCGGTCCGGTATTTCCACTGCCGCCGTGTCAGAATACCGGGCCGGCCGCTCAGCTCTGCAGCGGGACCTTATGGAGATTACTGCGGACCTTTGGGGAGGTGGGGAGCGGGTACCTGAATTTGACAGGTACCCGCTCCCACTTCCGTGGAGTTGTTCTTTCATCTTACCCGTTCTTCTATCCAGCGGCGCGGTCTTCCCGGCTTCTGTAGTGTGGGCATGACAGCCGGGTGCCAAGTGCGCATGCTCAGGAAGCGGTGCTTTTTGTGAATGGTAAGGCGGCACCTGGGACACATGACAGATCCCAGAAGCCGCCGGACCAATCACAAAGCGCAAGTGCTTCTCGCTCCTGCGCACTGGGCACCCGGCTGTCATGCCGAGCGCCATTACAGAAGCCGGGAAGACAGCGCGCGGCTGGATAGAGGAACAGGTAAGATGAAAGAACAACTCCGCGGAAGTGGGAGCGGGTACCTGTCAAATTCAGGTACCCGCTCCCCCCCCTCCCCAAAGGTCAGCAGTCATCCCCTGTACTATCCACAGTCTCTGGTCATCCCTGTGCTGTCCGCAGTCTCTGGTCATCTCCTGTACTGTGTCCGCAATCTCTGGTCATCTCCTGTACTGTGTCCGCAGTCTCTGGTCATCCCTGTACTGTGTCCGCAGTCTCTGGTCATCTCCTGTACTGTGTCTGCAGTCTCTGGTCATCTCCTGTACTGTGTCCGCAGTCTCTGGTCATCCCCTGTACTGTGTCCGCAGTCTCTGGTCATCTCCTGTACTGTGGCCGCAGTCTCTGGTCATCTCCTGTACTGTGGCCGCAGTCTCTGGTCATCCCCTGTACTGTGTCCGCAGTCTCTGGTCATCCCCTGACTGTGTCCGCAGTCTCTGGTCATCTCCTGTACTGTGGCCGCAGTCTCTGGTCATCTCCCTGAACTGTGTCCGCAGTCTCTGGCCATCCCCTGAACTGTGTCCGCAGTCTCTGGTCATCCCCTGAACTGTGTCCGCAGTCTCTGGTCATCCCCTGAACTGTGTCCGCAGTCTCTGGTCATCTCCTGTACTGTGTCCGCAGTCTCTGGTCATCTCCTGTACTGTGTCCGCAGTCCATTAGTTCAGAATTTTTTTTCCTGTTTTCTGCCTCTAAAACCTAGGTGCGTCTTATGGTCAGGTGCGTCTTATGGAGCGAAAAATACGGTACTCTCCCGTAGGCTAGTCTGTCATGTAGAAAAAATATCTCTACACAAAAACAGACTGTAGTCAACAAAGGTAAAAACAGCAAAATTGACCCAATGTTATTTATGCATAAAAATATATACGAGATACTTTGCATGACCAATTACAAATGTATATACAATGTTTCCATACATTATATAAAAATATAGGGCAATAGATTGCATTAGGCCTCTATCAAAATACATATCGGTTGCAGGTAATGAGCAACAATAAATATTCTGTAATTATTTTTTATAACATTCTAGTTTCCACCTCCAGTTTGTGATCATATTTGTTATTCTATGGCAAGACAGAGGTAATGGTTGGGGTTAGTCCAGTTAAGGGAGAAAAGAAATTAATTTGTTTATTTAGTGGATAAAGGAAGGTTCACAAATATTAACCACTTCTGACCCATAGGACGTTATATAACAACCTCAGGTTGAAGTGGTTATACTGGGATGATGCCTGGATGGCATCATCCCGGTATCAAATTTTTTTCAGGAGGCGATTCCCTGTAATGCAGAAGTGATTCAAGTGACTGAACAGCCACTCGATCACTTCTGCGGGTGGCGGAATGTTGTCCCTCCCCCATCGTCTTTCCCGGGCTTCCACGTCCAATCTCAGAACTAGGACCACTGCAACCATCAGTGACAGCTGCACTAGACAAAGAGAGAGAGGAAGTGACGTCATTCCTCCCTCTCTGTGATCCTGGAAACTTGAAGCGATGAGGATTTCGTCACGTCCGGTTTCGGCTCTTTATTTACTTGACTGTTAGCGGCCAGGAAAGCACTGATCTTTGTCTGATTGGTGGCATTGGAGATCAGAGGAAAGATCTGGGGTCTAATAGACCCCAAAGCTCTCCATTAAGAGGACCTGTCATGGCCCATGCTTTCACAAGGGATGTTGGTCATCTCTTGTGAAAGCAATAAAGTTGATAAAAAAAATTTAAAGAGAAAGTGTAAAAAAAAGTTTCAATGAAAATAAACAATAAAAAAAAAAAAAAAATGTAAGCACTCCCTCCACTCGTGCTTACGTGCAAACGCATGCGTAAGTCCTGCACACATATGTAAACGGTGATTGGATTACACTTGTGAGGTATCACCATGAATGTCAGAGTGAGAGCAATAATTTTAGCTCCAGACCTCCTGCATAATTCTAAACTGATAACCTGAAAAGGCTTTTAAAGTGTCGCCTATGGAGATTTTTGGGTACTATAGTTTGGCACTGTTCCACGGACACAAGCAATTTTAGAGTGTGTAATGTTAGTATCTAACTACTTGGCGTAACATCATCTTTTATATTTTAACAAAACAAATAATGTTTTATATAATGTTTGTGTGAAATAAATTCATTTATGTGTATTTTTTCTAAAGAAAATTATATTTGAAAAACCACGGTGCAAATTCTGTGTGACATAAAAAATTGCAACACGCGCTATTTTATTTTTCTAGGGCCTCTGCTAAAAAATATATATAATGTTTGGGGATTCTAAGTCCTTTTTACATGAAGGAGAGAAATGTCAGGATTGGTACAATGGAGGACTGGTTAAGGTAGTTATATCTTCATCTCAAGGTCTTGAGAACTCAGGTCAACCAATTCACTGATATCCTATAAACATACTGTATATATAATGTATGCCCTACTGTATTCTAGAAGTGGTCAGAGAATAACAACCAGTAATTACTGTGTTAAACTTTTTTTGTTTTGGACCGAGTGGGGAAAGGTCAAACCCTCTGTAAATTTTTTAGTGCTTAGTACTCCAACAGCTGTACTTTCAATTTTAAACAATACCCATTAGATTCAGCACTGACCCAAAATGTAATACTCACTTTTTTGAAGGTCTATAACTGTTTGTGTTACAGTCAGCCTCCCATTCATCAGAAATGCAGTGAATGCTGAATGTGATGTATTTGTGTGTAATTGAAAGTGCAGCTTTTACAATATTATTTTTGTTAATGCATAACCTAAAAGTGTATCGATGAGCTGTGGCTGGACAGTATATACATGTACGGTGTTGTTGATATTTTTGAACTAAGATTAATACTGTTTGTGTCCCCACGTGGATGATCACCCATCTATTTGACCTGGTGACTATTGTCACAGAAAAAGAAAATTTTAGAAATGTCCCAAGAACAGAAGGTAAAGGGAATTCTTTAAATGGGGAAAGAAAACTCATAAATGTTTAAAAGTCTGGTTCATTCAGAGGTATGTATATGAATGTACTTTATCACTGGAATCTTAGATATTTTATTTATCTTTGAACATGAATGCTCTCAGTAAAACTCTGCTATACAATTTGGCTGTAGGGTAAGAAAGCAATTTGTAAAATGTCAACTTTTTTCAAAATAAATGAAAGCTTCAGAGCGTTAATTTGCTAATGACCACAAAAAGGTCAGTACTTGGCTTCATTGAAGATACTAAATAGGAAGATTATCTTGAATGCCACACATATCCACATATAAGTGAAATATACTTTTAAAAAACCTATTGAATGCACTTATTTAAAACTTTTGATTGCATGATCAGAGATATACAAATATCAAATCAATGGTCACACAAGATCAACTGTACAGCTCTGTGCAGTGGGGAGTAAAAGTTTATAAACATCTGCAGTAGCTGCACTGCATATAACAAAAATGTGGAATTTCTCTTTTACAGTTCCAAAAAAAGTCTGTGGCCTTGTGTGTTGTCTATCAACATTTTATGGTATACTGGCCAGGTATATAGCAACTGTAGACTGCATCCAGTACCATCCACAGGATACACCACATGCTCACATATATCAATGTCCTCAGTTCAAGACAGCTTGGAGTTGTGCCCTTGACAACCAGGACACTGAAAATAAAATAACTGTGGTATAGTACAAGTATGTAAAGGGAAAGTGTAGTGTATTACCAGTGAGTACATATTTGAAATTACTGTTCAAGTGTTTACCTGTAATATTTGTTGTTATTTTATTATTTCTACATTTTCGGTGTTCCATATTTTTGTTATTGCCTTAAATATAGAGATTTGTAGATTAGTCATATAGAGGGAGTTCTGTATTTGATTCATTTTACATTCCTGCTTAACAACTGTTAAAATAAAAGTCAAATAATGGATTAATTGTGTGTATTGGATTGGCAGACTCATATGGGTTGATTTACTAAAACTAGAGAGTGCAAAATCTGGTGCAGCTTTGCATAGAACCCAATCAGCATCCAGTTTTTTTTGTCAAAGCTTACTTGAACAAGCCAAAGTTAGAAGCTGACTGGGTACCATGCACAGATGCAGCAGATTTTGCACTCTCCAGTTTTAGTAAATCAACTCCATAGACTTAAATTGTGAGATAAAAAAAAAGTAAAGCACAACCATTGTGTAACACTGAAAAGCAGGAAGAAGGGCCTACATTTTAATTATTATTATACAGGATTTATATATAGCGAAAACAGTTTGCATAGCACTTTAAAACATGAGGGCAGACAGTAAAGTTACAATAGAACTCAATACAGGAGGAATATTTAATTTAAAAAATCTGCCCCATATAAATATACAACATTAAAAACTATACACAGAAACAATGTATTTAAATATAGTAACTCATCTTGATAACTGTATTCATATCAAAAGGATCTCTTTTATATGTGTGTATATAAAAAAAATCAACTACTATATATTCTTTTCACTACATGGTAGAGATATGCTATTCATAACACACGTACATTTAAAATTTATGTGAATATACTGATGACTTGTAAAATAATAAAGGTCTTTGCACAACTGAATCTTACACCTTAGATACACTTGACTGATACAATTTCTACAAGTCAGATATCAGTTGCAGGGCCCACAACGTATGCACTTTTGTGAAATATTAGCATGTATTTGTATAGGTCTGATGGAAAAAACATTCAAACACATTTAGATTATTACATAAAGTGGAACATAACTGTAACTGAGCACCACAGATTGAAAAGACTATTTAGGTTTTTTTTGGTTTATTTTGTTAAGAAATCATGAAAAGCACCCTGCTAGCATTTCTAGCCACAGCCATCTTGACTAAGGGCAGATGATTCATGTAGCGTTTACTTCCTGGAATCCATTTGCCCTTAGTTTAGGCATGCAGACAGGAGGACATGCTTAGCTGAAGAATTTCCCTCCTCCCCTCCTTCCCCCATGAAGACTCCTGGGATGTATGACATCATTTTGGCTTAGGCCAGAAACCAGGAAGCAATTAAAGGAGTGTAAAAAAAAGCTTAATGCAAGTAAATATATTATACCTTCCTATTTACTTACTATGACTAGCAGCACAAGGTTAAAAAATAGTTCATGTTGATTGAGATAGTAAAGTTCCACTTTAGAGGGCTGTTCTGCACTATTATATCCAACTATGAAGAGGTGCAGAATACAAGCATTAAATGTAAAGCTTAATGTACATTTTATCTCTATACACTTAACTTCCAGGGTGAGTAAGTCCTTACATCTGTAGCCAGCTCTTTCATTTCCCTGGATGTCACCACTTGGATTTTTAAGAGACCAACACTTGCAAACTGCTGTGAGTTTTTTTGTTTCCACAACTTTACATGGCAGACAAGATAGGAACAAAGTTAACTAGCATAATCAAACCATACACTTGCATAAGCTCCATTATTACATTACATTACATTACATTGAGTTTATATAGCGCCAAAGGGTTTGCTCAGCGCTGTACAATAGAGGGGGGGACAATACATGAAACATTACAGCAGCTACGAACAGCACACGAGGGGTAAGAGGGCCCTACTCTTTCGAGCGTACAATCTGGGAGGGAGGGGGTAGTGGTACAGGAGGAAGTGGCTGTGGGGGATGGAGTGGTAGGAGGAATGAAGGAGAGCAGCAGTTAGGTGAGGGTGGGGTAG